AGGAGAGGAAGACACTCTATGAGATGGATTGATTCAGTGACTGGGGCAATGGGGGTAGGTGTGTTGGAGACAGTAAGATTGGTACAGGATAGAGCAGGGTTTAGGGCTGTTGTACATCAGGTTACTATGAGTCGCAGGCGACTTGATGGCACATAACAAGGACAGCCTTGTTTGTTGTCTTGGTGGCCAATGGTAAGTTCAATACTCTTCTCCAGCACTACAACTCAAAGGCCTATATTCTTTTTCTATCATTCTTGGTCATTGTTCAGCTCTCTGATGCAGAGTAAGTAAAGCTAAGACCAAGGCCTGGGATCAGGTGCACCTTGGTCTCTAGACTGACATTGTTGCTCTTTAGTACTCTGGAGAGATTCCTGACAGCAAATTTCCCTAATGCAATTTGTTTTTTTTATTTCCTGATTGCTGGTGCCAAGAATGTTGATTGTGGAGCCAATTAAGCTGTAATTGTTAACAATCTCAGTCTCTTCTCCATCTATCATGGTGCTGCCAATTAGCCCAGTGGTGAGAATCTTTGTCTTCTTGATGTTGAGCTTCAATCCATATTGATGACTGCAGTCCTTGACCTTCTGCAGCAGATGCTTAGGTTCTCCTCAGTTTCAGCAAGGAAGGTTGTGTCATCTGTATAGCGCAGGCTGATGAATCTTCTTCCATATCTGATGCGACATTCCTCCCCAAAAAGTCCGGCCTTCTGAAGGATCTGTTCCACATACAGATTGAAAAAGTATGGAGATAGGATGCATCCCTAATCCATCCCTAATGCTTTCCTGATTTTGAACCATGCAATGTTTCCCTGCTCTGTTCTAAGGCCTGCTTTGTGGTCCAAGAATAGGTTTCGCATGAACACAATTAAGTGTTCTGGGATTCCCATATGGCCTTGGTGACAGAATAAGACATTATAGTATCTTGTGCAAATAATTCTTCAGTATAAAAAAAACAAGATTAGCTTGTCATTTACAGACTCTGATGCACTGAAAGTTCAGCTGTGTGTGGGTTCTAAGTTATGAGAGGGAGTATTCCACCTTCAATCCTTTTACTACTAGTGTATCAGATCATAGGGGATTAGTATCTATATTTTGATGAGAACATAAGCAAACCCATGACACACTATCACCCCCTGGTCCACACACTGTTTTGTGCCATCAGGTTGCCTGTGACTCATTGTGACTCTATGTACAACAGCTCTGAACCCTGCCCTAATGCTGAGCCAGTCTCACTGACTCCGACACACCTACCTCTGTTACCCCAATCACTGAGTCATTCCATCTCATCCAGGGTCTTCCTCTCCTGCACTGTTCCTCTACCCTTCGAGCACGATGTCCCTCTCCAAGGACTAGTTCCTCCTGGCCATGTGCCCAGAGTTGTGAGACAGAGCTTCAAAACCCCTACCTCCAACATGTAGCTTGGTTTCACAGACCTGTTTCTTCCCCTGGCTGTCCATGGTATGTTCAATACTTTTCTCCAGCACAACTCAAAGGCATCAATTTTTGTCTGTCATCCTTAGGTACTGTCCGGCTCTCTGATGCGTAGCAAGTAATTGCGAAGACCATGGCCTGAATCAAGCGCATCTTAGTCTCCAGACTGACATCGTTGTTTCTCAGTACTCTGGAGAGGTCCCTGATAGCAGATTTTGCCAGTGCAATTCGTCTTTTGATTTCCTAACTTCTGGTGCCAAGAGTGGTGGTGGTGTTAGGCGCCACTGTCGAGTATGACTCAGAAGCTCTATGAACAGAAGGTCTGAGCCCTGCTCTATCCTGCACCATCCCCATACCTCCTGACACACAAGACCCACTGCAGCAGCCACCATGTCAATTCACCTGCTTGAAGGTCTTCCTCTCCTTCACCGACCCCCACACCCTTCCCAGCATCATGTATTTCTCCAAGGAATAGCCCTTCCTTCCTAGCAGCATACCAAGAGTGTTACCATAGCTGAAATTAGTCTGCTGTTCTGAGGATCTCGTTTAGCAACAGTAGTTTGGATTGCCAAATTCTTTAAGCCTGTTTTAAAAATATGAGTGCTTTATGGAAAATTCATGGTCACTGGAGACTCATACTATGAACCTTGGTCTCCTTGTTACGTGCCATCAGATCAAGCACAACTCATAGTGACCCTATGCAAAATAGCTCTGAACTCTGCTCTATCCTGGGCCAATCTCTCTGACAGGCCTACACTCATTACCCCAGTTACTGTGTCAACCCACCTCATCTGGGGCCTTCTTCTAAGCTATCCCTCCACCCTTCCATGTATGATGCTCTTTTCCAAGAAAGTATGAGAGACAGAGCTTCAAAATCCTTTCCTCTAAAGAACAGCTTGGCTTACCTTTGATGACTGATTCTGAGAGGTACTTAATCTCCCAACATGCCATGCTCTACAAAACTAAGCAAACCCACCCTGGACTTAAAGCAGCCCCTTTACTATGACAGAGGATACTGCTCTTTAGGATTTTCTTAGAGCTCTGGGGGCCTAGCAAGGAATTGCACTGCAGATTTAAAGCAAGTGGTTCCCATCAGCCCACAGCTCTGTGCAAGAAAGATGGACAATCTCCTGTGCAATTATCAGCCTCTGAAAACCTGTGGAAGGGTCAGCTATGAGTTGATTCAGATCTGACTGCGCTTAACAATAATCTAAACAGAAGTAAACCAGCAGATCTTTCTTTTGTGGTGCCATACGGTGGGCTCAAACTGTCAACTCTAATGTGTCACTGTGTACCGTGGAGTCAGGACTGACAGCTAGCTGGCTTTTAGAGGCAGTATCCTACACAAGGGATTGCCCACCTTTTCCCCCGCGGAGTATCTGGGGGATCCCAGTCGTGTATCTTTGTGTTGTCCCAACAGTTCTCTTGGAAGAAAATGCAGCCACAGTTCTTGGAGGCGAGGATGGCAAAGATTCATCTCACATACTTGGGGCATGTTAGAAGCTACTCCTTGGAGAGGGTCATCATGTTTGGAAGGGTGAAGGGTTAGCGAAAGAGAGGAAGACCCTCAACGAGATGGACTAACTAAGGTGACTGCAGCAATGGGCTAAAAAAATGAGAGATGTTAAGGACAGAACAAGGTTCAGATCTGTTGTTGATAGGATTGCTGAGTCGTACCTGACTCAACACCTAAAAAGAAGCCATCCACACCTTCAATCTAGGCAAGAGGGCATCACTGATCAATATTTATTGGTGTCCCTTAAACAACCAAAAGCAGAAACTGCCTTCAAGTTGTGACGTGCAGAAACCCTACAAGACAACAAACTACCCCACAGCCCTTCCAAGGCTGCAATTTATAAAGACGATGCCATGTCATTCTAAGAGCAGCATGTTGGTGACCCTTTTGGCTTGAAATCGAGCACTTAGCTCAGTGGGCCTTTCTGGCCCTTAACACAATATTTACCATTTATTCCTATTGTTTTAGGAAATACAAGGGTACCAATATTTGTGTCACCTAAATGTTTATTCCACAATTAGGGCAACTCATTGTTGACCCTCAAGAGGGTTTCCAGAGGCTATGAAATCTTCTTTCTCTTGAGGAGCAGATGGTGGACTTGAACCACTAGAGAAGAATGGGTTATAGGCTCACAGACTAGGTCACCAGAACTCCTTATTAAGGGGAACAAGAGCTTTCTCCTGAATATGAGAATAAAACCACTTGTGTACTTTCATACAGGTGGGAAACTAATTTGATTAATGAAAACTCCAAACCACACCAATTTTCAGCCTCCTGGTATTTGAGGCCATCAACAAATTGGAGAACAATCTTCACAGGACTTGATCTTGACACGTGCTTAGAAACACATTTTGCCATCATTTGCAGCAATGTGTTAAGCCCACCCATGCAGCCTTAAGGAATGAAGCATGGAGACCATTCAGAGGTACCCATTTATCACTGAGCAGTTTTATTTCCGCTGTTATAGCTAGGATTGTCTTTTTAATATATATGTATATATTCACCTTGTGTCTCTGAGGAGGCTCCCTGAGTTCAGGGCCTGGGTGTTGGACATTTACATCGTGAATTAGCACCTAGGACACAATAGATGCTCAACAAATAGCTCTTTTCCATTGGCCAACACCTCCCAAACCACGGAGTGGACAGTAGGTGAAACTCTGCAATGAAATGCACACAGATGCATCTCACCTCATTTCTGGTTCTTAGAAAGGCCAGCACACTGCAGGGTCCTTTCACATCCCCCAGCAACTCTCTCCAAGCTCCGAATCCTCCAAGGAACAGTGTTTATCTAACAGACTGCGATTTAACTTCTGCACATTCATGGTTTACATGTTATGTCTGTCTAGGGTTTATAATATTGGTTTTTCATGTGTGGTAGACTAAGCTTCCTTTTTACATACTTTTAAGTGGAATTAATGTATTAAAAGAAAGTAAAAACGAAGCCCA